CCCGCCAGTAAATTGCATGTCACAGGGATTTGGTGTACAGGTTATTTTGCCACCCAGGTAATAAGCATAGTATCTAATAGGTAGTTTTTCAATTCTCACCCTCCTCCACCCTCCACCCTTAAGTAGGTCCTGGTGTCTGTTGAAGAATCCAAATTTTGAAAGTTAGGGAAAAATACTCATTCTTCAGTCACAGTTGATTTAGTAATAGTATTAGAAAATCGGTTTGAGTGCCAAAACCAGAAAATTTTTTAAAGTTTTATCACGTTTGTCAAATATAAAATTTGTTTTTTGGTGCCCAGATGTTTAGGAAGAAAGCATTTAAAGGAGGTGAGAGTTGAATAATTGACTTACTATCATATAAATATATAAACTACCAATACACATATGTTTTTCTTTTTTCCTTTTATGGAATTGACTTTGGTACAATATTAACTCTGTTATGGTTCTTACTATGATTTTTCTAGTTTTTTGTTCATTTTTGTTTGTTTGCTTTTGGTGGGTAAAGGTTTATAGTTTTATAAAATTATATTGCATGGGTAGATTAGAGTAACCATCACTATTATAAACATCATATAGAACTGTTTCATCACCACAAAGAAACTCCCTCAGGTTACCCATTAATACTCACACCCTTCTCACAAATATTATTGCAGTTGGGAGTGGAAGTCAAAGTTTCAACCATGGGCTCTCCAGGGGAGAGGCGACTCCTGTTTACTTTATGGGAGTTGGAAGTTAATTCACACCACAGGCTCCTTGGGGGAAGGGATGCCATGCCTACTGAAGTGGAGGTATGGGTGGAAGACAGGGTTTTGCCCATGGAATCGAGTGGGGATGGAGGGTGTTTCTCACTGATTCCCTACTGTACCATTTTTCTAGTGGAGAAGGGACATGACATTTTTGTGGTATTCACTTCCAGAACAGGTTGGTATGGCTGGGCCACCCTGTTCCAGGTTCTTTGGCTTTTCCTGGGTGCTATTTTTTGTTGGTTCTTTGCTGCATTGAGAAATTCTGTGGCACCCAGTTTGGGACATTATAGGAGGCAAAAAAAAATCCCATGGAACTCACTGTTATATCATTCCTTAAGTCCCGAGGTCCCTAACTAATATACCTTTTTAGTCTACCTTTTGGAGTCTTTTGATAGGTGACATACATGTTTTATCTAGAATGTTTCATTGTGATTGACAGGGGAAATAAAATAGATTGCATTTACTCCATCTTGTCTGGAACTATGTCTCAGCCTTGAGAGTTGAGAGTTGACTTAATCTATTTTTTTTTCCTCAATTAAATTTTAAAGTGTATAACTCAATTAGAAGACTCAAAACTGCCCACAGGGCAGTCAGAATCCAGCTGAGCATATAAAGCATCAGTATGTGAAATATGGAACCTAACCCTATATAATTTTATAAAATATATTTCTGTCAAAGACAACTGTTGAGTTCTATGGTTAGACTCTAACTAATATTTCTTAAGGTTTAAATATTTGCATAAATATTTGAATCCTTCACTTTTCTTCACTTTTTACTGGGCTGTTACATATCAACACACACACACACAAACACACACACACACACACACAGATCTTCGGTTACTTTTAAGATAAAAGTAGAATTGTGTTCAGTGCTTACAAACACTGATTGCTTTAAATGTTTTATTTGTGTTTCATTGCTTTATTGATAAAATACAATAAAGATTTTAAAAAAAATAAAAAAGAACTTTGTGGATCTTAAAAGAATTCTCCATAGGGCAGTGGTTTGGGACAAATACTGCTTGCTGAGGCAATATACTGTTGAGCATGACTATCAGCCTACCTGTTAAATTAAGAGCTAACTTGAGCCGAGATTTAATGATTACAGAGTTATCGCACCATGCAATACATTTTCTGCAGGCTTTTTCAGCAACAAATATTGCATTTCTCTGTCAACAGCAATGTATAGAAGAATGACTATATGAAATGAGTAATTTGGACTTTAGGTTAAAGTAGACAATGATATTTTGCAGGACATGAAAGCACAAGTGAGGAAATTTTTCTTTGCCTCGTCTTTCATTTGATATTGCCCCCAACCAAAACAAACAAACAAACAAACAAACAAAAAACAAAAAAAAACCCGATAGCCAACTCTTTTAGGCCAAATTTTTTGGGAAAAACCACAGTCATTGTACTATTTCACCTTCACTTATTTTTTTTCTCATCTAAGCCAATAAAATATTGTCATCTGAGAAAAGATATAATTTATGTTTATGTCCGTTGATGATCTCTTTTGTGATTAATACAATGGCCACAAAATGAAAAGGGTTTTAGCATAACAACATTGCTTATAGTATTTGTATAAAGCAATTCAGGTCATACAACCATATTTATTAAAAGTTATGAGATAATTAGGGAGATTGAACTTTTAAAGCATAGTATCTGAGTACCTTACTCTTGTGCTTAGAAACTTTGAGGAGTCCATGCTTATCCATTGGGCATTCAAAGCACCCATGATTTTCCCACCAATGTCTACCCTCATCACCCACTTCTATTGTTGTTTCTAAAACGCTGTATAAACTATTTCCTAAATGGGCTTCATGTATTTCTACCTTTTCCTTTTTCCTTGTTCTGTTTCCTTTTACAAGAAATTATTCTGTTCTCCTCATTTTCTACTATTTTTCATTTCTTTCTGTGAAAGCCATTTACATAATCCTACTCAAAATTCTACACATGGTCCATGTGAAAATTTCACCCCTGTAATTAATTAGGCTTTCCTGATTTTTCAAGTTGATTTTGCTCTCCTCCCTAATATTTTATTTTTACTTCTCTTGTAGCCTTACTAGGCCAAAGTAATGTATTAAGGTTTTTCTTGTGTGATGTTTCTGTAATACATTATGCTTTCCTTGAATAAGAGATGGAGTGCCTTGTGTATATAAGTATTATGTAGATCAAATACACGGGCATTGGAATTCACATATAAATCAGATATAGTTGCTGACTTAAAAGTGCTAAAAACTAGAATTGGAGAAAAAGTTTCACAAATAATCATAATGCAATAAGATTAATAATATAGAGAGCAGGGGTTACCAACCTTGGCTGCACACTGGAATCACCTTTGGAGCTTTAAAACCTTTTGTTTATAACAGGATATCACCCCAGAAAAATTAAGTCAAAGCCTTTGGTAGTTGGGCCCGGGGATTGATACATTTTAAAAGCTTCCCAGGTGAGCCTAATGTGTAGCCAGGGTTGAGAACTACTGATATAGCTATGCACGAATAGTGCTATCTGAAGACAGATAAAAGGTTTGGAGAATAAAACCAGAAATACCTACACAAATGAGTTGAACTTGAAAAACTATATAGAACTTCAATTGGTATATATCAAGAGGAAAGGAAATCTAAGTAAAAGAATATTTATTGAGATATAAAGTATTACAACTCACTTACTGGAAATTTTTGTTTGGAGAATCCTAAACTCATTATGAGAGTTGCAAAATGGAACCGAATGTGAGGGTAAAGCTATAAGAATTTTGATCTTGGACAATCTGGGCTTGAGTAACATTCAGACACACACAATTGAACATATCATAGAGGATTTCATACTGAAAACTTGATATCTTTCTAAGATAACCAAAATTCTAATTACACATTTTTTAATAGAACCAAATCAGGATGTTTGTGACTTATGTATTCTCTTGTAACATCAAACACCTACTTGTACCTAGTGTCAGCTGATTTACTTCAACACCATGTGAAAGTTTGTGGATTTCTCCCTCAAAATATGAATCAAGTGTTTACTTTTAGCGTTGTTTAACAGAAAGGAAAATTTATTCCTACAACATATATTTTGCTTTCTTTAAGCTTTTTTTTTTTTTTTTTTTTTTTTTTTGAGATGGAGTGTTACTCTATCACCTAGGCTGAGTGCATTAGTGCCATCTCCATTCACTGCAACCTCCACCTCCTGGGTTTAAGTGATTCTCCTACGTCAGCCTCCCAAGTAGCTGGGATTACAGATGCACACCACTATGCCCAACTAATTTTTATATTTGTTTGCAGAGATAGGGTTTCAACATCTTGCTCAATCTGGTCTTGAACTCCTGGGCTCAAGGGATCTGCACGCCTTGGCCTTGCAAAGTTTTGGGATTACAGGCATGAGCCACCACACTCAGATTTTTTTTTTCCCTTCT